TGGGGCAAATTGCTGAAATGGGGGGCCCATGCTGCCCAGGTGCCCGAGTCGTTCCCCCCCAGACCCAGGATGATCTCTGAACGGAAAGCCGCTCGGGCCTTGCTGCAAGCGAAGCGGCAACCCGACCTTCTCGAAGGCAAACATTTCGGCAGGATCTCCTACACGGCTGCATGGGCCCAGATGCACAGCCAAAACCTCACAAGATGGCTCCTGGACACCAGCCAAGGAAGGATATGACATCTTTCCAAAGGGGAGGAATGGCAGTTACTATACCACTGCACCTCCTTCACTGAAGCGCACCATGTGATAAGGGTCCTCAGCAACGGTCTACCCGGCCCGGCTAGGCGGAGGGGCGACAACGAGAATACCACACAGGTGCCCATGCGGTGCACCAGCCAGGAGCGTGTGGATCACCGCCGGCCCTGACGACGGGGGTGCTGCTTGGTGCGCGAGATGCATCGGCGCAGGCCCCCATGCCTCCGCTCTCTGGCATACCCTTCCCCCTGACATTCCCCCCCCCTGAGGGGTCAAGCCGAGGCCTATGCAAGCGCAGGGGGGCACTTGCACCCTCCCAACAGAAGCGGGCCATGCCTGCGCTGTCCCCTCTGTGGGCTCGGAGAAGCGACCACGGAGCACGTCTGGCACGGGTGCCCAGCTGCGGCATTAGCCTGGTGCACCATGCGGGGCCCAGACGACCCACCAACCCTCGCACAAGCGATCGCCAGCAGCGGCGAACGCCAACCCTTGCTTGCCAAAGTGCTGCACCACATTTCCTTCATATACTGCGTCAACCTCACCGCCTCCCCACTTGAGGCCGTCGAAGCCGCCGGACTCATCCTGCGCGGCACAGTGACCACCGACGCAGACCAGCAAGGTGACAGCGACGAGGGGGGGCACGGGGTGGACGAGCCCCCCAGGAGCAGCAACCCAGACGAGACAGCCGTCTGGACCGTCCTGCGCGACACCTGCCGCAGTTGCAACCCTTGCACCACCCCCGAAAGAGCGATCTGTTGCGCCGCGAGGCCCCACTTGCAGAGACATGCACGCATGGCAGGAGGTGAGATCCGCAGACTCCCAGTGGTTACCAGAGACCACGACCCAGGAGACATAATCGTTGTCCTACAAGCCCCCCAGACGCGGGCTGCATGGATGCCCCCGAGAAGCGGTTGCTTCCCTTGCCCTAGGACCGACGATTCTCCCACCGCCAGATGGTCTTCATCTTTCTGCCGCGAATGTGGGCTCCACACCACCACGCTGATCGCCAACGCGGACCTGGGGCCAGGCGATGAGGTCACTGTCCGCAGCTCGCCTTTTTCCCGACTCCAACTCCACCCAATGGCCCTATGAAGTCACCTTCGACGGGGGCGCAAGGTCCATCGAAGGCGGGGGAAAAGCTTCCGGCGTCGGGGCCATCCTGTGGCATCACAATCCCAGCACTGGCTCCCCCCGGGTCCTGGCCATTGCCATCGTCGCCCTCCCCGATAGCGGCAATGCACAGATGGGAGAAGTGGCTGGCTGCCGAGCCGGGTTAGCGTTGCTCCCCCACCTTAGGGGCCCAATCCGGACGGCCCGGATTGTCGGCGACAACCTCGGTGCGGTGCGATATGGCGCTGGCACCGCCAGATGCCGAGGGCTCCATCTGGCCCGGCAGATGGAGGACGCCCTAGGGCAGGCTGAAAGTGCTGGGTGGGTGCCAGGCGGAGGCTAAACAAGGCTGCAGACAGCCTGGCCACCATCGGGGTATATTGGGCTGATGCCCTCCGCAAGGAAGGCGTGATCGCCGTCACCACGCATGTACGCTGGGCGAGCGACGCCCCCTCCCAGCCCGAGCATTTCCCCGGCATCGACCTACGGGAAGTCAACCTATGTGACCCTGCGGAAGCAGCGGAGGCCGCTCTCCTGCTGGAGCACCCTCCTTCCTTTCCCCCCTCTGCTCCGCCCCGATCGGATCGCCGATCGACCGATCCCCGCGACCACTAAGGTCATTGCCGCTGCGGCTCAAGACCGACCTCCTCCACGCACATTTTCCAGTTCTGCGGTTATCGGCTGCGCTTCCCCCTCTCCTTTCCTGCGGAATGGCGAAGAAGAGGTGCAATAACGGGCCACTGTCCAGATGGCCTTCCCCCACCGAGCCCTGTGATCAGGGCCCTGGCAAGGTAGATGGCCGATTTCCCTTCCGTGCAAGGGAGTGCCCATGGCTCCGATGGGCGCACTTCAACCACGAATGGTGCTGGTGGTGCGAGGTGCCAAAGATATTGCGAAGGCAAGGAGCACCTCCTGGGAGGAGACCATGCCAAGGAGGCAGCGAAGTAGCGGGAGGCAGGTTGGCCAGATCCCAGGCACTACACTGACCAAGGCAATCTCTGGACCAGGACCATGGGAGAGAAGGTAGACAAGGTGACCGGACGCACCATTGGCAGGCGCCTATGGCCCGGCCGGGAGCTGCCAAGCCCAGTGAAGGCAGGCCCACAGCCATATCTGCCAGGGTGGACCTTCCCGGAAGACTGGGACTATGTCCCAGTCAATTTCCCCTTCCGCAACGACTCGTTCGACTTCTCCATCTCCACGGACACAGTTTACGCGACCGACCTACGACCGCCCGGCCAGTGCAGAGGGGGCTGGGGAGTGACAATTTTGAGCGCGGCCAGAGCCCGGGGTGGCGCAGCACCGCCGCCACCGCCACCCTCTGATACACCCCCCGCTCCACAAGAATGGCCATCCACCTCGCCGCTCCAGAGGGGGAGACGGGCCAACGCGTCCAGCAGGGCCTCCTCTCAGGACTCAACGGATCGGACGAGGCCCTCACGCGAGTTCGGAGGCGACTGGCCGGGCGACCTCCCCCACCTGGGCGGACAGGCGGTCATGGAGTCATCAGCGGCTGCAGCAGCAGACGCCATCATCCGGCTATACGCCGTATCCGCCAACAGCCCGGGAGCCCAATTCCGCCTCCGCAATCCCCTGGGCACGGTCGCCGCCGGGGTGTGCCTCCCGAGGCACTGGGAGCAGGATCTACGACAAAGAGGGTACGCCCTGGACAGGCTTGTCTGGGCCGAATGCATGGCAGCCACCGGAACAGTATGGGGCGGTTCTGCCAAGGCCAGAGCTGACCTGGTCCGAAGGCAGAGCTGCGCGCTGGCTGTGTCCGTCACCCCCATTAATGAGCATACCCCTTGCTTACTCCTAGACAAAAACAGGTTGCGCGACGCCTTTCCCACCCAGGAGGGGAAGCTGCTGCTGCACCTGCAATGGCCAAGAGGTTCAAGATCCTGTTCAGGGGGCAGGAGGGTGGACAGGAAGCGCGGGCGCTGCTTCTCAGCATCACCAGCCCAACGGCGGATCAGGTTGCGTCGCTCAAACTTCTCTGGCCCCCAGAGCTCGGAGGCGACTGGCCGGGCGACCTCCCCCACCTGAGCGGACAGGCGGTCATGGAGTCATCGGCGGCTGCAGCAGCAGACGCCATCATCAGGCTATACGCCGTATCCGCCAACAGCCCGGGAGCCCAATTCCGCCTCCACAATCCCCTGGGCACGGTCGCCGCCGGGGCGTGCCTCCCGAGGCACTGGGAGCAGGATCTACGACAAAGAGGGTACGCCCTGGACAGGCTTGCCTGGGCCGAATGCATGGCAGCCACCGAAACAGTATGGGGCGGTTCTGCCAAGGCCAGAACTGACCTGGTACGAAGGCAGAGCTGCGCGCTGGCTGTGTCCGTCACCCCCATTAATGAGCATACCCCCTGCTTACTCCTAGACAAAAACAGGTTGCGCGACGCCTTTCCCACCCAGGAGGGGAAGCTGCTGCTGCACCTGCAATGGCCAAGAGAGTTCAAGATCCTGTTCAGGGGGCAGGAGGGTGGACAGGAAGCGCGGGCGCTGCTTCTCAGCATCACCAGCCCAACGGCGGATCAGGTTGCGTCGCTCAAACTTCTCTGGCCCCCAGAGTTCGGAGGCGCCATCCCCCGCCGCGACTGCGAAGCCATGGAACTACGGCCGGGAGCCAAGTTTCCCACCAACCAAGCCTCGGCCTGGTACGACACGGGAAAATTCGGGGAGTTCCACCCCGACGGTACGCACCCCAAGCCAGACAAGGTGGGAGACGGTTGGTACAGGCTGGACGAGGACCCCCCCAAGCTACAGTATTGGCGGATCTCCAGTGCCATCAGCCAACTCTACAAACTACAGCAGGCCCCAGGTGACCTGGAGGGCATGCCGCTCGGCGTCATCTCCTTCCTCCTCACCTACCGCGCCGCCGACAGGAACAGCAGGATTCTGGCCAATGACGTGGAAAACACCAGGGAGTGCGGCAACTCACTCCTCTCGCGGGCGCGGGCCACCATCAGGGCCCAGAAACCCGGCCTACCCCCGACAGCGGCGAACGGTAGTGCTGCCGGCCCGCAGCAACAGAGAGGAGTCGCTGGACGCGCCCTTCTCCGACGAAGAAGTGGACAGTTCTACTGGTCAGGGATTCCAGCGGGTCAGAGACCTCCCCCCAGCACTCACCCTCGACGAGGGCGCCATGCGCCACCGACTTAACGAAGATGCTACGCGCGCCCTGGCCGCCACCAGACAGCACCACGTGACAGTTGTACATGGTCCCCCCGGAACTGGCAAGACGATCTTTTCAGTCGCCACCATGGACGCGTGGGCCGACTCCCTCCCCGACGGGCAGGCAGTTGCGTTAACTGTTGGGTCTAACGCTGCTGCGGGCCAGCCTGCCGTCGGCCTCGGGAGTGCGCACGAGGCAGGCAGACTAGGACAAATGACTAGCTTCCCCAACAGGTGCGTCCGACTGGCCAAAGAATTCCGGGTGGCACAGAGACTAGCCCCTCTCACCCCAGGGGGACATTTCTACAGAACGCACAACCGCCCCCCTCACCAAGGCGGGCCCTCCAAAGAGTTCAATGCCTTCCGTGCATAGCTGCTTAGGGGCGCCAAGACGATCATCGCGACACACGAGTCTGCGGAGGCCCTCAGGCACGCTGCACCAGTACCCTTCTTCATCATTTACTCGATCTGCTCCTGCAGGGTTGGCGGCAGTTTCTGCCCCCCGGGTGTCCTCATGATCTTCAGGAGTTCTGGTAAGAGATCTCCTGGCGCGAAACGGTGGCACCCGTGGAACAGAATGACGAACTCCGAGAGCTTATCGAAGATGTCCCAGCCTTCTGTGTCGAGACGTTCTTTCTCAATGCGCTCCTCTCGAGGCCGTCGCAAGTGGGAGCATGGGGCATGTGCATGTCAGTGCCCCGCAGAAATGTCTGCAGTAGCGAATGCGTTCGCACGGGGTTCAACTGCATGAAGTCCCCCATGCAAATCTGCGCGAGTATGTTGCCGAAAGTTGTGTCCGCGAGCGTCGAAGGGTCAAGGCGGCGCGAGTCGTGACGCCCCCAATTGGCACGCGCGTTGAGGACCGCTAGAAGTTGAGGGTCCGCTACGCTGGCCTCGTCGATCATTGCCAACACGAGGTGGTTCCAACGGAGTAGCATTTTTCCCTGGGGTTGCCGTGAAGGCCGCTTGCGGGTAAGGGTCTGTCGGCGCGTGAGGCCTGCCATGAAGTGGAAAGTGGATCCACCAATGAGCCTCGCAGCGCTGTTCTGTGCCGCGAACCCTCGAGTGCAGCCAGGGAAGAAATGTTCATATACAGGTAGAGCGACTTGAGTCATGAAAAAACTGTTACCGGATCCCCCAGGGCCGCGCAGGAAGAGGTGCTGCACGAACTGCGCGGGAACGTCCTTCAGCTGGCGTCTGCCCGCGCTTGTTCGGAATACGGCAAGCATGCCGCGGTCTGCAGCAAAGCCCCGCAGAGTTTGGAGCGGTGCTATACAGAAGAGCGTGGATTCGTATTGATCTTGCGGAATGCGATATGCGTCGGTCTTCCCTACGCGGTGCGGGAGTCGCTCTGCCATGAGCTTCCTCGCGTACATGGTGGGGGAGGTGCCCCAGTCCGTGTCTTGCACGAACGCTGCCTCCAACGGAGCGTCGTTGTCGTTGTCGTCGTAGAGGAGATCGGCGCGGCCATGCTGAGGTGGTGCGGCGCCCACATCCAGTTCTTCTTGGGCGGAGCGCTGTTCTCGCATGCGTCGCTACCTGATCAGAGGGGATTACGAGCGCGGAGGCAGTGGAGGTTCGAAAGGAAGGACAGAGTAGGAGGAGGAGGAGGAGGAGGAGGAGCGGGGTGACCTAGGGTAGGGAGGTCGAACGGCCTCTGCACGGCGAGGTTGTCTGCGGCAGGTGTGCGCAGCGACCCAGCTCGAAGAGTAGGGGTTGTAGTCCGAGGCTCGCGGAGGTGCTCGTAGAGGTGGGCCTTCGCGTGGAGGAACTCCTGGATGCGGAGAAATTTGTCGCCCGACCGCTTGTCAAATTTTCCAGCAGAGAGATGTCGGTGTACGACGTCCAACACGTCGGAGTCACGTGCGCGCACGTGTGGTTTGTATTGGATACCGGTTGGGGCGTCGCGCTCGGCGCCGTCGCCGCATTCGGGGTTTGCGGCGGCGGGGTCTCCAATGTTGTCAATGTCAGCCCTGGCGGCCTGCAAGCCAAGGTGCGCATCATCATCAACGAAAGCTCCTTGGCGCAATAGTGCAGGTCGCGGGCGTTCCTGGGCCTCGGCCATGAAGTTCCAGTTAGCGCTGCTCTCGACCGTAATGAGCGCGAAGAACTCTTTCGGCGTGAGTTGTTCGTCGTGTACACCGAAAGAGGCGACGGGTGCAGTGCCTGCTGAGTCCTGGGGGCGGTGAGCTACCTGTGAGCGGGTGTTGGCGAGGCCAGGGGCGTTGCTCAGTCGTAAGGGTTCGGCGTTGTAGTCGATGACGTCGGAAACGAAGCTGAGGATTCTCCGAGCGACGTCGGGTGGCAACGGTCGTAGGAAGCCTGCGGGCTGGCCGTCGCGGCGGGCGTGGCGCGCCCGAGCGAAAAGCATCCTCGAGCACGGAACGCGCGCACTGGCAATGCGCGGTGCTCTGCAATGCAGCGTGCCTCCCGCGGACCATGGCCCAATGTAGCAGTGCCGGTGCGCTCCACAAAGCCACGAGAGCAACCAGTCGTGGACCATGCAGTGAGTCTGGGCCCCATCGATGATCCAGGACCGAAGGGCTGTGGTATCGAGAAGAGTAGGAACACGGCGAGCACGCTGCAGTTTGTCATCGGCGCGTTGGGCTAGCGTCAGTTGCTCAGCTTCGAAAGCCCGCCGCGGTTCCAGGAAGCGGTCCATGCCTATGCGTGATGTCGCCGCACGTGTCGGTCGACTGTGGCCGTGCAGGACGTCAGACTGTCACGAGGTTGCCTGTGCGAGGTAGCGGACAGAATGAGCGGTAGGAGTTCTGCAACACCCCTTGTGTGGGCACCTTGTTGGTCTGAACAAAGTTTGCTGCATCATCGCATGGGTGGATGCGTCGGAAGCCTGCGTAGGCAAGGCGAGGCCATGTAGATATGGTGTCCGCGGCGCTTGCAGAAGAGTCTGTACAGTAGTCGCTGCCTTGCAGTAGTGGGCGTCGAAGGAGAAGTGCTTGGTGCCTCGTAGCTCTGCTTCAGCGCGTGGGCAGACGTGGGCGCACATGGCATAGTGGTAGTACCCCATGCTGGCAAAGGGTTCTAAGGACCCTCGGTGCAACCAATCATCGTAGAACGCGTCCGTGGATAGGCGCGATGCGGGGTCTGCCGCCGGGGTGGCGAGGGGGTCCGCGGTCGGGGGACAGACCTCGGGAAGGTGAGGGTGGGTCTGGGCAGGGCGCAGTAGCTGGATGTTGGACAACTTGTGGTGGGTTTCAGGTGGTGCGTCGGCGGCTCCAGTCTCCAATTGTCTCAAAGTTTCCCGTGCGGACCAGACCGGGCGTTTCATCATGGCCCGCCAATGCCGGTGTGTTCGGATAGTTTCCCGCCCTGTTAAAAGTTGGAGCGCCATTAGACAGCATCCTTTCATGATGGCATGGTTCGCCGAAGACCAGAGCCGGATGAGGCGCCGGCGGGCCTCATTCTGCGAGCTTGATAGGGGCGTCGGGTCTGCGCGTGCGGTGCCCACCAGAGCGCCGGGTCTGCAGTCTGCGTTGCGGAGGGCACCCTTCTGGAGGTAGGCTTTCATAGCGGCGGTGTCGTGTTCTTTTTTCATTTGTGCCTCGAGCTGTTCCATGCCGTGCGTGAGATGCTGCAGAAGAGCCCTGCAGAATACAATTCAGCGCGCTAAAGTAAACGGGCTGCCTGCCGGAAGAAGAAGAAGAAGAAGAAGAAAAAGTAGAAGTAGTTTCCCGGAGCTCCGTTTTAGCAGCCACGGGTTTGCCAGCCTTCGCCTGGCGTCTGATACTGGCCCCTCAGTGTCTCAGCATGTCTCCGGGCGCTTGGGCGAAGAGACGACAGCTGAAATGGGGCTCGGGCGCGGCGTACCTGCTACACAAGCATGTGGCGGACTCACAGCACGATGCTTGCTCAAGGGGACCTCCAAGAGGACCCCGAGAAGCAAACATATGTTCTCTCGTTCAGGCAATCTTTTTTGTTGGCCAGATTCGTTCCTGAAGTGAACGATGTCTACGACAACCCAAGAGACCCCCAAGACGGCCCGAGATGTCCTCAAGGCAGCCCCAAGTCAGCTTATGAGGGCTGTAAGACGGCTCAAGAAGTTCGCAAGACAGCCCAAGAGAGACCCAAGAGCGGCCCGAGAGGGGGAAACCGAACTCGAATTTCGAGCTTCCCGCCCCCCACAGGAGCCCCGAGGCCGCCGACAGGTTCCGAAGAAACTCCCATGGCCGATGGAGGGCCCCAAAAGGCCCCAAATATCAAGTCGGGCGTGTCTCTCGACAGGGGGAATATTCAAAACTAGTCAAAACATAGTCAGGGGACCATGTTTTGATAATTCTTGTGTGTCTGTGTGGCTATTTGGGGGTATGTGCTGACTTTTTTAATTTGCCCAAAATCCCCCTGTAGGGGGACATGCCCGACCTAAGGCTTCAGAGGTCCCTGTGAGACGCTCCCGAGAAGGGTTTTGAGCCCTCTCCTCAACTGAGCTCCCTGCGAATGCCGACCGTGCGCCGCAAGAGCCCCCGCGACGCCCCTGGAGGCGCGGAGGGCCCGCCCCGCAGATTCCAAACGACCCCGGCATGCTACGCAGACACAGACACAGACACAGACACACACACAGACACACACACAGACACACACAGACACACACAACACACACACAACACACACAGACACACACAGACACACACACAGACACACGCACAGACACACACACAGACACACACACAAACACACACAGACACACAGACACACACAGACACACACAGACACACACACAGACACACACAGACACACACACAAACACACACACAGACACACACAGACACACACAGACACACACAGACACACACAGAGACACACAGAGACACACACACAGACACACACACACACAGACACACACACACACAGACACACACATATACACAGACACACACAGACACACACACAGAGACACACACAGACAGACACACACACAGACAGACACACACAGACAGACACACACACACAGACAGACACACAGACAGACAGACACACAGACAGACAGACACACAGAGAGACAGACACACAGAGAGACAGACACACAGAGACACACAGAGACACACAGAGACACACAGAGACACACAGAGACACACAGAGACACACAGAGACACACAGAGACACACAGAGACACACAGAGACACACAGAGACACACAGAGACACACAGAGACACACAGAGACACACAGAGACACACAGAGACACACAGAGACACACAGAGACACACAGAGACACACAGAGACACACAGAGACACACAGAGACACACAGAGACACACAGAGACACACAGAGACACACAGAGACACACAGAGACACACAGAGACACACAGAGACACACAGAGACACACAGAGACACACAGAGACACACAGAGACACACAGAGACACACAGAGACACACAGAGACACACAGAGACACACAGAGACACACAGAGACACACAGAGACACACAGAGACACACAGAGACACACAGAGACACACAGAGACACACAGAGACACACAGAGACACACAGAGACACACAGAGACACACAGAGACACACAGAGACACACAGAGACACACAGAGACACACAGAGACACACAGAGACAGAGACACACACAGAGACACACAGAGACACACAGAGACACACAGAGACACACAGAGACACACAGAGACACACAGAGACACACAGAGACACACAGAGACACACAGAGACACACAGAGACACACAGAGACACACAGAGACACACAGAGACACACAGAGACACACAGAGACACACAGAGACACACAGAGACACACAGAGACACACAGAGACACACAGTGACACACAGAGACACACAGAGACACACAGAGACACACAGAGACACACAGAGACACACAGAGACACACAGAAACACACAGAGACACACAGAGACACACAGAGACACACAGAGACACACAGAGACACACAGAGACACACAGAGACACACAGAGACACACAGAGACACACAGAGACACACAGAGACACACAGAGACACACAGAGACACACAGAGACACACAGAGACACAGAGACACAGAGACACACAAGACACACAGAGACACACAGAGACACACAGAGACACACAGAGACACACAGAGACACACAGAGACACACAGAGACACACAGAGACACACAGAGACACACAGAGACACACAGAAACACACAGAGACACACAG